ACCTTTCTTGGAGGTTTAAAGATGTCACTTTGTAGGCAGTATTCAAGGAGCCAGGGCCTCCCCTTAGCATCTTTAAATAGGCCTGTCACCAGGTTCACTCACCACTGGTGGTGCCTTCTCCTGGCTATCTTGGGGATTAGCTGCGCATGCCCACCCCCACAAATCATGTCTCTTCCGTCATCTCACCCTGCAGTCCCTCTTGCTCAGGAACCAAAGTCTCCTCTTGGTGACTCAGCCCTTTGGCTGGGTCACTATCAGGGTCAGCTCTAGGATTTTTGCCACCCCAAGCAAAAAAATTTTGGTCGCCCCCGTTTTTTTTTCGCGCTGTTTCACACGCGGCAAGCCTGGGAGGGAGGGGGGGAGAAGCGGAGTGGCAGAGGCGGAGCGGAGGTGAGCTGAGGCGGCGGGGGCACATTTCTAGGGGCGGCCACCTCTAGAAATGTGCCTCCCCAAGCACCTGCTTGTTTTGCTGGTGCCTAGAGCCGGCCCTGGTCACTATGTGGCTTCCCTTCTGGGGGGTTTACCCAAAGTCCTCCTGAACAGTCTCAGACAGTCTTCTTCAGCACTGCAAGTGGCCAGGAGGGGAACCCAGGCCTGGCCACTACTCCGGGTTCCAGTCCAGGACCCTCAACCAGCAATTCTGGGTTTTATTGTCTCAGCCCTTCCTGCTCCTTCCCTGGACTGCTTCCTACAATTTCTGGTTTCCTTCCCTTTCTATGGGTAGATCAGCTCCAAACCCTCCTCCCTCTTCCCAGCAAGTGATTGCTACCCCAGTCTGGTGCCAGCTTCCTGGGTCTACCTCTTCCTCCTCAGCTGGGTGCCATCAGCAGTTAGGTCCCAGCCCTCCCTGGCTTCTCCTCCAGGTGCAACTTGGGCAGTTAATAGGCCTACCTGGTCACCTGAACTCCTTCCAGTCCTGTGTGGTTGGACACACACTCACAAGATCCTTTCTGTTCTACTTTCCCTTTGCATTTTCTGGTCTGCTTCTCCTCCTATCTGTCTGACCCTTCTTCTAAGGAGCACAATAACCAGGAGGAAAGGGGTATTGGGCATATCTGATTCTATTCTGTATACATTCTTATCCCAGGCTTATCTAGTTTCGAAGGCACTACTGGAAAGTGCTCAAGCAATGTGTCAGATGTTTGTTCTCTCATCCTCACCCTGGGGGAAAAGCATGTGCAGCAGAATGTTTTGTTTTGTAATTATCTGTGATGCCGGCATTTGAAACCAAGCTTTTATCATCTCTTTGCTGTTTGAACTCTTGCAGGGCCAGATCCTGAAGTTTGGCTAACAGCTCAGGTCAATAGGTGACTTTGTTGGGTCCAGTTTGTCATCCATTGGTTACACAAACACACCTGCCAGCAAACTCCATCATTTGAGCATTGATGTCCAGCAAATAGAAGGATCATAGACACAGTCCGAGTAAATATGTTTAAATATTCAGGATAAATGTTCAGAGAATGTGTGGCAGTTTCTGCTGGCTCTAATTTTAACATTTTTAAATACGCTCCCTCATGCCCCTCACATTCCTTGTCCATTTGAGTTCCTCAATAAAGCACACAGGAACTCAGAAGATACCTTGTGTCATCAATATTTGTGTTAATGGCTTAGGAAACCCGCAATCCAATCAGCTAAAATAAACAACCCAGTGTAATAGGAGCATTAATCAATGAAGCCTTCACTGCTGAAACCTAAATGTGAAATCCATTCACCTACAAGATAAAGGGATACTGAGAGACATCAAGAAAAAACCAGAGAGGACAGTCTGATGTTTTTCAAAGGTACTGAAAATCGGCATCGCTAGTTGAAGCCCCTGAGTTTGTGGGTGTTCATCACCCCTGAAAGTCAGAAGAAAAAGGGCCAATCTTGCAAGGTCGTGAGCACCTGCTGTGAGTTGGGTACTGGTCTCTTTCCTTTCCTTTTAAGATCAGTGAGTGTTGAAGGGATATAGGGTCTCACATGATTGAGCGCTAGTGAAAAAAAGAAATGTGCAAGAGAAGCAGATGATCTAAGCATATGTCACCGAGAAAGAACAATTTGCAGAATTCTGCTGGGCTTCTGCAGACCTTTTTCTGAGTGACTCACGGAGCCAATACTGTGAATTTGGACCAACCTCAAAACAAACCCAGGGTGGACTTCAAGAAAAACTGTTGTACCTTGGTTTGTTCAGAGGACCCAACCACATCAGCCACACCATCAGGGGTTCATTCACTTGCACATCTACCAATGAGATATATGCCATCATGTGCCAGCAATGCCCCTCTGCCATGTACATTGGCCAAACCGGACAGTCTCTATGTAAAAGAATAAATGGACACAAATCAGACATCAGGAATGGTAACATACAAAAGCCAGTAGAAGAATACTTCAATCTACCTGGACATTCAATAACAGATTTAAAAGTAGCCATCCTTCAACAAAAAAACTTCAAAAACAGACTTCAAAGAGAAACTGCAGAGCTACAATTATTTGCAAACTTAACACCATTAATTTGGGCATGAATAGGGACTGGGAGTGGCTGGCTCACTAAAAAGCAATTTTCCCTCTCTTGGTATTGACACCTCCTCATCAGTTATTGGGAGCGGCCCTCATCCACCCTGACTGAATTGGCCTTGTCAACACTGCTTCTCCACTTGTAAGGTAACTCCCTTCTCTTCATGTGCCAGTATATTTATGCCTGTATCTGTAATTTTCACTCCATGCATCTGAAGAAGTGGGGATTTTTACCCACAAAAGCTTATGCCCAAATAAATCTGTTAAGTTTTTAAGGTGCTACCGGACTCCTTGTTGTTTTTACTCCTTGTTTGTTTTATCGGTTACTCTTACCTCAAGTAGCAAGATCTGTCAGGTGGATCTACATGTTCCAATCCTACTGATCAATCATATGGAAGGCAGTGTCATTGCACATGGTGGATTTTCTGTATTTTCAGTTTGCTTTTTAAAAAAGCTATGATATTACATGCAAAAAAATGGTGTTAAAACAACATTATTAAGGTTGCAAAGTCAACACTCAAATGTTAGGAAATGCCAGAAGTAAGCTTGCTTGTGTTCCCAAATATGAAGAACACACAATTAGTAACCACCTGTGAAAAGTTTAAGTGACTTTCCCCACATTACATAAGAACTGTATGGAAAAGGCAGGGATAGCATCCAGTTCTTCAAGGTGGCATTCCATTGTCTTGGCCTGAGATCATCCTTTCTCTTTTTGCACTTCCCTAACTCATTCACTACACACCCTGCAACTTCTACAACAAATGAGGAAGCGGGGTCTTACAAACAACTGCCTCCTGAACTACACAGCCCTGATACATTCCCTGAACATCATCCTGTGCACTGACTGAGGCAAGGGTCCTGTGGAAAAAGTAGTATGTAATCATGTAATTAAAGACTGTACCATAATGCAGACAGCCAAGGGGTTGCACTTGGGATTCCTAGCATTCCCATTGCAGTTTCAATTAGATAGGGGATTCTCCTCTCCCTGTCGTCAACTATATTGTGTGGTGCAGCTGTAAAATATTAAGCATGCCAGAGGTGGCTAGCTCTCTCGTGATTGTTGAAGAGACCCCCTGTATCTAGACTGTGTAACAGTAGGGTATGTTTCTAAAACCCTTCAAAGCCATCAGGAAGACAGGTATTGTATATTTTAAAGATATTATCATTATGATTTTGGTGGGAGACGAAGTGACTCCTTTACATATATTGTGGCTTGCACAAAGAACTTGAAGTTCCTCCTAGGTGATAAGTGCTACATGTATGTAAGGTTTATATTTTATGTTAGGAATTCCTGTGAAAAATAATAGGTCCAGTACTGAACCTACATATCCCTCATGTCAATACAGACTGTAACCACTAAATCCTTCCTCATTCACTTTCCAGTAGCAAAATCTTATCGGCATAAGGAAGATTCAGATGGGTGTCTACTCTATACCACCAACTAATTGCAGGAGTTAGCCTAAACAGTGGTTTTCCTCTCCCCAAGAACAGCTGAATTTATCCCATTCCCTTAAGTACAAGATTTGATTTGGATCCACCATACATTTGGAATCTGCATGACCTACACCAGATAATGTTAACTTAGTCTTCATTAAAAATACGCCTAGAGAACCTCTCATCTTGTGAAAATTCCTGTCTGCTCTGTTGCTTTGGTTGGCAGGCTTTGGAATGCCATTATAGGGTACAAAGCAACATTTAAAAGAGATGAGATTGGGACACCGAGTGATTGTAAGAGGTGCCCTTGCTGCAGAATACCCAAAATGCCTACTTTGTGTGTGTGTTGTACAATGTCTCCTTTGCAACTTTTAGAATTTTAGGTGCAGATCGAAAAAGGAAGAGCAGGCCAGACCAAGCTGAAAAGAAGAAATGAAGTTTTAGAAAAACAACATACAACCTCAACTCCATCATCAGCAAATGATGGAATCTTTGGGACTGGCTAATCCCAAAACACTTGGATACAAGGTGTTAGACAGTGATTGAAGTTGTTCCATATTTCACCTCTTCCTGCATTTTTTCCCCATTGTCAAAGTTGTTGTTAATCCACTGCAGACTCTGGTTCAATGTTTGTGCTAAATTAAGTTATGTGTTGGGGATGATGTCAGGCCAGGCAATGCAGTGGAAAGGTGTATAGACAGAACAAAATTAAAGCAGTAAGGAAATATGCAAAGTCATGTCAGTCAGGCTGGCTCAAATGTAGAGATTTCTCGATGGTTTTCTTCTTGCCCATTGCTACCCCCCATATCTTAAACACCACTTTTTATGTGGTATGATAAATATGACACCAGGTGGCCATTAAAATCCATTATTAGCCTGAGGCCACCCACACCCATTGCTCACATTAGTCTAGGAGGACCCATTATCCAAGTGGGACAGCAATGCCTCTGGTCCGCAGAGACCTCTGCTCTCTAATCCAGCCCTGCATAGCATTGAATGTCTTGGAAAGTAGACCCCTTGCCTCACTATTTTGAGTTCATCCATCAAGATGGGCATTTGTGTTCCTCTTGCAGAGCTCCCATGACAAGGATGTGATCCTCAATGTTCTCAGCATTCTCACAGACCTACTCTCCATCGGTAAGTACTGATGCCTTAATGTCTCTATTTTAGGTACTTAGATGGTCCTCTTGGTTTTAGAATCTGAGTACCTCACATTTGAAATGTCTTTACAATTCCAACACTCCATGAGACGTGGCAGTGTTATTATCCCCATTTTACAGATGGGGAACTGAGACACAGAGACTAAGTGACTTGCCTTGTCATACAGGAAATCTGGGGGGGATCTGGGAATTGAATCTGGGTCTCTTGAGTCCCAGCTAACACCCCTGCCACTGGACCATCCTTCCTCTCTTGTAGAGTGAAGATGGGTGGGACTAAAACAGGGCACAGAGCAGACATCAACATATCTCTGTCAGGTGTTTGCTAGATCAATTCTGCCTAGTTTGCGTGAATAGCCCTTCAGCTTTTCCTCCTATTTATACGGAAGATTGGGGGGGGGGTTCCCTTACTCAACCCCCCCACCCCCACCGTACACTTTTTAATTTTATCACATGGTGAAAGAGGGGGAAAATATTCCTGTGAATTTCAAAGGTGGCCATTAATTTAACTGCTTCTCAAGATGTTTCAATCTTCCCAGGGAGTGGAACACTGGAAATGTTCAGTCACCAGGCCCACTGGAAAGAGCGAACCATGAGATATGAGCAGGAGACAGCCTCCTGGGTTGCAGCAATTTGATTCTGTAGTTGATTTCCCCTCAGAAAAAAAAGGTGCTTGGAACTGTCAGGGGAATGAACAGCTTCTCCTCTGCTTCACTTCAGTGGTATGAAATCTTCTCCATGGGTGTAGTAATCCACGCACCACAGAGACTACACTATTTTCAAAGTCTCCTCTATCTGCATGTTCACAGTGAAGGTGAACTTATTTTCCCTTCTTCAGGGCCACAAGAAGGGAAAATAAGTTGCTAGCAGAGCATTCCCCTCCATTTTTCATCAAAATGTCCTTTCGTTAAAATTTTTCCAGCTAACTCTAGTTGCCAAAATGCAGGGCTCTGTGTGTGTATGTGTGTGCGTGTGTGTGTAGTTGTTTACATCCCTATTGCAAGCCTCATATGCTCCTACTTTACACTCTCCCTCTCCCCCCAACTCCATCAGAGACATCATAACCACAGCTGTGACTCTCTGTTGGAGTCTATATCATTCTTCAATCAGCTAGATGGCTTCACTGTGGATGATATGAGCCCCCTGGGGACTGAATGTACTGCTTCCACAATACTCCCAGCCTGGGTTTCCAGTAGAAAACTTCACAGCTGGCCAAAGATGCCTGTGGATTATGAGCTGTTGACACAGGAGGACCCAGAGGGTTAGCCTTTGGTTTCTCTGGAGACCTTATTTGTTTGGAGGCTGACTCCAGAGCTTTCCTAGGATTCATTCCCCTATCCTAGGCACTGTTGGAACTCTTTCCCTTCACTTATTTAACTTTCAATATCTAGGGAAAGATCACTGAGCATTGCACTTCTTTGAAATCTATCTGAGTCTCTGCTGCTTCTACTCCAACCCATTTCAATGCACACTGAAAGCTTCAGCAGGTGGTGGCTTATATAGATAATAGCAACTGCAGCACGGAGCAGCATCACACATGGTTTTGACATAGAGTAGAGATGAGCCTGAACCACAGCTCCAAACTCTGGGGGTGTTTGAAATCCAAGTCCAGATGTACATTTTGCAAATGCCCTTATATTTATAATGGTCTGAGCAAGAAAACACCAGAGAAGGGTCATGTAGTGGGCTTCTTTAGGTCTGATAAGCATCCTCTGAATCATATAATGTTCACTTATTGCTAGGTTTAAAGCTCTGCGACAGGAAAGTTATTGACTGTCCCTCCTTTTTAATTTTCTGCCCTTAGGAACAGACCGACGAATTCACTACATGGTCAGCAAAGGGGGGAGTGAAGCTTTGTTGCAGGCTCTGCTGAATGTTGCACAGACAGCCCAACCAGACTACAGCATCCTTTTACCTCTGCTTCGCCTGCTGGCTAAAGTAGGCCAAAGAGGTATTGCTGTGCCAGTATTATTTAAAGGATGGGGAGGGAGGAGCAGAAGGCTCCAAAGGTCACAGTCATGGTCAGTACTGGAATCCGTGAGTGTTTTAACAAGTCAGGACACTTTGCACTGAATGCTGGCTTGGCGACTGGGGGGTGGGACAGAGTGTTGTAAGACCTCCTAATAGTTTCACCCGCTAGTGGCTAGAAGTTTGTACTAAGAATATAGGCACAGCTGATGGCAATCCAGGTGGGAGAGATTCTATAATGGAGTTCATTCTGAGCTCCTGACCAGCATTTTGTGTCACCGATAAAGCCCAGCTGGGCAGTAAGTGATTCCCATACAAGACATGGTAACTTACAAAGGCTCTTTCTCTTGTGACTTCGTTTCTGTATCCCAATAACACATTCAAAAACAAGTTTCACTTGCTGCTGTGTCTCTATCATCAGAGAGATTGTTGTTCAGTGTTTGCAGCACAGCTGGGAGGCTTGAGCTTTCTTCTTCACACCCAAAGTTCAGTGGAAGCGTTATCTGTGAAGTGCTAACATTTTTATGATTTTGTTTTCTATGTACATTTCTGGCAGTTGGCCATCTGCAAAACCAGCTACATTTTTTGTCAGACAGCGTTTTGATGTAGCACGTCATAGAGGAGAGGCACCCACATAGCTCTTTCTTGGGGAGACTTTACTTTAGTTCCGTCTTGTTTCCCTTAACTTAAAATAGGTCATTGAAACTGTTCTTTGCGTATGGAAAATGTAACACTGGGCAAGACACCAGCCTCCTCTGTGCCTCATCTTATCTATTTGTAAAAGTCGGGGGGGGGGGAGAATACTGATTTCCTTCACAGGGGGATTGTGGGGCCTTAGTAATAAATGTTGTTTGCAATTGCTTTGAGATCTTCCTATAAAAGATCCTGTTGAAGGATGCGGCATGATTACACCACAGCATGCGGCATTTCTGTGTCCCTGTGAAAGCCACTCTTTCTTCACCATCATTTTGTTCCTGTTTGCTTTCACAGATAGGAAGTTTGGGCTGAAAGTGCAGAAACTGGACGCAATTGATGTGACCCTGAGCTTGGCAAGGAAAAATCTGACTCACCACCTGAATCTCATCCACTGTCTCTGGGTCCTGCGGGTTTATGCCTCTAGTGGTAAGTGCTCCTTTCCATTTCTCATGCCAGTGAGAGTCGGAGCTCCTTCTGCAGTTGCTACAATGCAAGCTAATGGTCCCTCTGCTACAGAGATATGCATCTATAAGTAAGCTATTGGCATCTGTGATTGATAACAGTTAGAATCATATGCAAGAGCTAGCATAGCTCTAGGTACGCTCTCACAGAAGGCAAGGAGGACTTGTGGCACCTTAGAGACTAACCAATTTATTTGAGCGTAAGCTTTCGTGAGCTACAGCTCACTTCATCGGATGCATCCGATGAAGTGAGCTGTAGCTCACGAAAGCTTATGGTCAAATAAATTGGTTAGTCTCTAAGGTGCCACAAGTACTCCTTTTCTTTTTGCAAATACAGACTGACACGGCTGCTACTCTGAAACCTCTCATAGAAGGGTAACTCTCAGAGGGATCTTTCACTGTAAGATTCAGTGAACCTACTCATCCAAAGAATATAGAAGACAGAAAATAGCTGTGTAAAAAAACATTTAGTCCAGACGATGCAGGATCGTTCCCTTCAGTCTATTCTAGATATCTTAGGTACTTACATGGACCCTAATACTATCCTCCTCACAATCATTAATGCATTTATGCTCACAACACCCTTGTGAGTTAGGGATTATTATCCTCATTGTGCTATTATCCCCATTGTGCAGAGTGGTAACTGAGGCACACAGAGACAAATGAGTTATCCAAGGTCACACAGGAAGTCTGTGACAGACTGAACCCCGACCTTCTGAGTCCCCAACTGGAGCCGTACCCACCGGAGTATTCTCCGGTGTTCAGTGACTCAAGCATTGGGATTCCTAGCTCTGCCCTCAAAAGACCACTGTGCATTCAGATATTTCCCCATGGGGAAATGTTTTCTTAGAGGCAGTACAAATTTCCCTTTGCTCACTTTCATCCTGTTGCATCCCTTTGCATTACCTAACCACTTCCTCTCCCTCCTGGCTACTTTCCCCCTGCAGAACATTCTAGATGGTTGTCCTATTCCCCTCTCCCCTGCTGTATACTCACATCACCGTCTGGCCGAGCTGTACACATCCAGCTTTCCATATCTTTCCTCCTAAGATTTAACATTACTGGCTGTTAGCCCTCTAGGTCTTGTATTTACACAGGAGCTGGCCTCATGCTATGGGCCTTCTCAGGCAGGCAGCCAGCTCCCAGCATTCAGTCCCCTTGCCTGAGATAAGTGGCATTCGAAAGGGTGAGTGTAATAGAGACAGCAGTTGAAATGTGTCTTAATTTGGGTTACAGAGCTGCAGGTTCACCCAGAGCTGCCTCCCACCCTGAGCCCTTTTCCACACTCCCTCTGCTCTCGTTAAGTGCACCCGCATCCCCATTCAGAGGCTTTAGCCCATTGCACTGTGGCCTTTAACTCTTTCCGTTAGTGTCAGGACCCTGAGCCCTGCAAACACACTCTCTAGTTCATTAAAGTGACCCTGAGGTCCCACTGCAATAGTACCTAAGCATCTCCATAAGAAACTGGTGCAAAAATGCAAAAAATTTTGTTCCTAATCCCCGCCGCCCCCCAAATTCATAGTCAAAATCTTTCAACTTGGTTAAATCTCTTCTGTCCCTGAGTTCCTACGTCCCACCAAGGGCCTGAGGAGGAATTCATCACTGTGCTGTGCTGTATAGGCCTAATCCTTAGGGTCTGCACAACCTCCCCTGGTGAACCCCATTCCAGTGCCTCAGAACGTCCTACCTCCTCCACCCCATTCAGCACTGGCTCTTAGTTCAGTGCCACATCTGCACATAACCAGGACATAGGTGTTGTTCTGGGATAGGCTGAGGCTTTTACGGATGTGGTAAAGAACTGGAGAATTTCCCTCCCTCCAAGTCACCTAATTGACTGGAGCAGTAGAGAACCCAGGAGCATATAACACCCTGAAGGGTCCTTGCGGGTAGGAGTCTAAGCAGCCAGCCCGACCTTGTTAAGATCTCACTGTAGCTGCTTATTGTCCTGGGTTGCTCCTTTCCCAGCGTGGGCTGCCAGCCCTGTGTGCAGCATGCCCCCCGGTCTGCAGGGAGCAGAGTTTAAGCAGCTGTGTACGCTGCACTGTCCCCATGAATAGTTTGCTATTGTGAAAGTAGCCAGTGAGCCTTCCAAGATTTTCCATCAGCGGGATGACTTGGCTGAGATCCACATAAGCTGATGGGCCCTTTGGCAGCTTTCTGGCCAGTGGGGGATAATTAGTAACAAAGCAGCCAAAAAACCCAGCCTGGGGCAGGCGTCCAAGACTCCTGCTGGCTGCTGATGGGGATGTTGATTTCTCATTCTTTCCCCCTCTTAGGACAATAAACTGTCTTTTTTTAAAGCACTTAACTGTTTTAGGCTTTATGCCCTCCCTGTTCACCTAGAGATCCCCCATTATTAGCTTCACTCACTCAAGCCCCTGAATCTCCCCTGCTCTCCCTTCTCCCTGTGAGGTTGGAGGTTTGATGATGGACTGTTGTAGGTTAGCTTTAAAGCCAAACAGCCAATTTCTGTGCAGCCCTTTCCCAGGTATACCACTGTGTCTGACTGCAAAAGTTAACAGCATTGTCAAGGGAAGAATTAAAGATAGGAGTGGCTGAGGTGGGGCTGCATCTGCACTCAGAAGTACCTATCCGAAGAGCAGAAATACCAGGGATTAGTGCAGAAAGGAAAGAAATCCTCTCCTATCCCACTCCAAGCCCTTAGGAGATATTCCGTGTGCATGGAATTGCCCCTGGAAACTGTGAGTGGATTTGATTGGCCCCATTTAACCCTAACCTGTCTCTAGAGAGTGCAACATCTTCTACAAATGATGGGGCAACTGTAAACTACTTGAATGAGCACAGGGCTAAGAGTTAGGAGAATGGGGTGCTAGTCTTGAATCTGCCTGTGAGTCATTCTGTGACCGTTGATCTCTATGTGCCTCAGTTCCTACATCTGTAAAAAGGTCAAAGAGACCCATTTGGAAGCCCAGAGGCTCTGCTGCTAATCTCAGCTGCTGCTCCTCTCTTTACTGCTCTACCAGTAACTCCAGCAACCCCAGCTTACTGCTCTGGATCTAACTCCCTGTCTCTCTCGTTGTCCCAGTCTCTGCAGGAACCAAGCTGGGCATTAATGGAGCCATGGAGCTGCTTTTCAAAGTCATCACTCCTTACACCAAGAAACACTCCAGGACAGTCAGGTAGGCAGCAGCTGCAAGGGAGTCCATTTGGGTCTGTCCGAGTGTAGCTAATATGCCAAATGTACGGATGGATGAACAAGTTTAGATCAGAGCTAGAACGAACAGCACTGGTCAGAGCCAGACCTGGAGCCGAGTGTTTCTAAAGTTCTAGGGGTGTCTGGAACCAAGAGTTTGGTGCCACTTGTAAAGAAAATGAAATCAAAACTGACACAACTTCACTGCAAATGTGAAATGAACATTTTTAGAGGTACAAAAACATTCAGCAAATTGTCACTGGGTCCTGGGGATTCCCAGTGCATCACACTGCCATGCTGAGGAATGGGGTTCAGGTCCCAGCATCAGTTCCTCGCACCCCAGTGTGGTGAAGCATTAGGAGTTAGGTGGAGACAGCCCCCTCTCTGCAACTGATGGTAACAAGCCCTTTGTGTCACTGCAGCAGGCTTCTGCTCCATTTGACCAAAGAGATGCAGTGATTGTCTTAAAGCAGAGCTTTGCCCAGCCCTTCTCAGATGGAGAGTTGTGATTGGCCCAATGTGGGGCTTTTAATGGGCTGGGACCCCTGCCACCTCCAATAAAATCCTAATGTCTGGGTCTATTTTTAAGCACATGGCAAATGTTGTTTCAAAGTGACTTTTTTCTATAGATACTAAACCTGCTCAGCTTCTCCAGCTTGCCTCTAAAATTAGCCATGCAGCTGTCTGCTCCAGCCCTGTCCCCAGCCAGTTCTCAGGGTAAGATTTATGAGGCCTGCACGCCTGTAACTGGGAAGGAGTACATGGGTGTGGATAACAAACACCAGCGGCTTTGCACCAGCCCAGCCTGCTACAAACAATAGAGAGAAAACGCAGGCTACTGCTATGCATGTCTGTGCAGTGCCCTAGACTCACAGCTCACGCAGCCAGGCACACAGTCATGAGTTGGCTCATGCAAGGCTCAATATACATGTCTGTGCGGTGCCCTGTGTGCACAGCTCACACAGCCGTGTGCTTGCTCACGTAGTAGCCGGTGTACACAACTCACACAGACAGCCGCATGCTCAAATACTTGCTTGTTGAACATACAGCGTGCTCAGGTTTCAGAGGAGCAGCCGGGTTAGTCTGTATCCGCAAAAAGAACAGGAGGACTTGTGGCACCTTAGAGACTAACACATTTATTTGAGCGTAAGCTTTGGTGAGATACAGCTCACTTCATCGGATGCATTCCAAGTTGATAGATTTCCACTCCATACGGCTAAATTCAGTGCCTTGCATCATGACAGGTTTCTGAGTAGCAGCTGTTTTAGTCTGTATCCGCAAAAAGAACAGGAGGACTTGTGGCACCTTAGGGACTAACACATTTATTTGAACATAAGCTTTCGTGGGCTACAACTCACTTCATCGGATGCATTCCTTATGCTTATACTTATGCGCAAATAAATTTGTGAGTCTCTAAGGTGCCACAAGTCCTCCTTTCCTTTTTTGCAGTGTACTCATTCTCTCACAGGCGCCGGCTTGTTCATTTCCCCGGGGGAGCTCAACCTCTGCCCCACGTCAGGCCCTGCCCCTATTCCAACCCTTCCCCCAAGGCTCCACCCCGCCCCGCCTCTTCCCACCCCTGCCCCTTCCCCAAGCGTGCCCCACCCTTGCTCTGCCCCCTCCCCGCAGCACCTCCTGCATGCTGTTGAAAGCAGGAGGCGGGTGGCACTGGGAGAGAGGGGGAGGAGCTCATCAGCGGGGCTGCCGGTGGATGCTGAGCACCCACTATTTTTCCCCTGTGGGTGCTCCAGCCTCGGAGCACCCACAGAGTCAGAGCCTATGCTCACTCTCACTTGTCTCAGCAAGGGTCA